CTTATACGTCAAGGCGAGTTGTGCGTATACGACCAGTTGAGCTGCAGCATGATCATGTGTTCGATCCTTGAGAAATTCCAACAATTGGTATCAGAGTAAGGTGTAAAGGCTTTGCTGTCAAGTTGCGTCACGGCGGAGTTAAAGGATTCTTCGTCCCCGTCAAGTTGTGTCACGGACGACGGAAAATTGAAGAGGATCATGTCGACTTCGAAGGCAAGTGGTGGTGGTGTGACCATCCAGTACCCCATGCTTGAAGGCGACAATTATGGGGTGTGCGCTGTGAAGATGAAGATCTTCATGCGTGCACGTGGAGTCTGGGCAGCGGTGGAAGGTGACGACGCGGTCGAAGAGATAAAGGACCAAGAGGCTTTCGCCGCCATAGCCCAAGCTGTGCCTGATGCCGTTTTCATGACCATATCGGAGAAAGAGATGGCAAAGGAAGCTTGGGAAGCTCTCAAGGAGATGCATGCTGGAGATGATCGTGTGAAGAAGGCTCGTGTTCAAGCTCTAAGGAGGGAGTTCGAGAGGATGAGCATGAAAGAATCAGAAGGGTCGGTGAATTTGCGTTGAAGCTAACATCCCTGGTTAATGAGATGTGGGCTCTCGGATCAAAGATGGAGGACATCGCAGTTGTGGAGAAGTTACTACGAGTCGTTCTCGATAAGTTTTTACCGATCGTTGGCACCATAGAGCAGTGGGGCGATGTGACGAAGATTTCGGTGATGGAGGTGATCGGGAGGCTGAAGACCTATGAGTTGACATTGAAGGGGCGTGAACGCGGCCAAGAAAAAGAGCAGTTGATGTTCTCGCGCAGTAGGGAGAAAGATAAGCAGAAGTACCGAAAGTTCGACAAATCTAAAATCCGTTGCTACAATTGTCAGGACCATGGACACTATTCACGAGTGTCCTAATCCGCGGAAGGAGGCAAAGAAGGAGCACGGGACACTACAACTAGCTGAAGTGGGCATGGATGACAACCCGAGGTTGCTTAATGAAGAAGAGGCGATTGAAAAAAAACAAAAACAAAAAAGAGTCGTGTCTTTAGTTTTGTTTGTGTTTGAGTGGTCTATGTGTCTCGGCGAGAAGACGAAGGCCAGCGTGAAGATGGATGCGGCCGGTTAAGTTAAGTTTCTGCATGAGAGGTTATGTGTTTAGTCTATATGTAGCATGCTAAGATATGATGGCGTGGATTGGTAATCCAGGTGATGTGATGGTTCTGAATCTACGAGTCGAAAATTTGGATTAGGGGGTGAATGTTAGTAATCCAAACGTAGTAAAACTAGAATAGTTTATTGAGTCGGTTTGTTCTTCCGTGTATAGGCGTCATGTACTAGTATGGCAGGAGTTAAGATCGATCAGGATTGATGTGTTAGCTTTCCATATACGAGTACTAGTCCGTATAGGTTAGGAAAAGGGAGTTTGGGTCGGTGGCGTGAGTCAAGTCCTGCACCTATATATACAGGGGCAGGGTACGTGAGTTTTATACCAGAAAAACGAAAAGCAATAAAAATATTATTATGAGGCACCACACGTGCCTCTGGCCAACTTTGAGTTGCTGCGTTCGTATGCGTGTATTCTTGTCCCGGTGTTTGCGTGAGCGCCGGCGTGATATCAAGTGCTACAGCTAGTTCTTATACGTCAAGGCGAGTTGCGCGTATACGACCAGTTGAGCTGCAGCGTGATCGTGTGTTCGATCCTTGGGAAACTCCAACACCGTTCCCGCGTGGGTTCACGGCAGATGCTGCAGATGTTTTGCTCCTGGGCACCGTGCGGCTGTTTGCAGAGACCCATTTCGATGTTCCCGCTGTTTGGAGAACGGTCACCGTGCGCGTGAGTGCCGCAACCCATGGTGTCCTTTCAGCTCGCTGGCATGCCTTGTCATGCCGCGCCTTGACATCGCGATCGTGCATCGTCAAGCTCCAACTTTCTATGAAGGTCCCTTGAAGTCTGTGCTTCCCTCTGAGGCGCCTCGTCGTAGATCTTGGGCATCTGTCGTCTCTGGTATCACTGGCTCGGCTGTCATGTCTGATGTGGAGCTGCAGTTCGCTCTGGCAGATCAGTCCAAAGTGCTGAAAGGTCTGGTGTCGCGTGTTGAGAGCTTTCTAGAGCGGGCGAAGGCTACTCTCGGCGAGCTCTCCCTCGTTCCAGCTATGTTGCCGACTGCTCTGACTCCGTGTCCTCCTGGTGTTTTCGATGTTGGTTCCACGGAAGACAAGGGGACGGAGCTCTTCGGTTGTTTCTCCCCTCGTGTTGGGGTCAGTTCTTCGCCATTGTCTGTTGCGGGCGAGGCCGTCGCCGTGGTCGTCACCCCGGTACTGCAGATCATGTCCGAGCTTCAACATCAATGTGTGAGACCTACTTCGCCTCTTCTGTTGAGCATATGAAGGCCGACTCGTCGGCGAACTCGTGTGAGGGACATGATTTGCCTTTGTCATGTGGGCAATTGGAGGCACCTAAATTCTTTGCGTCGGTGACACCTATGGCTAATGATGTTGAGGAGTTCAGGCTAATGATGTTGAGGAGTTCAGTATGTTAGCGCCTGATCATTCGACGCCCAGCCAGCCACTCGCCTTTGTGGACCGTGGAGGTTCTGATATTGCGGTTACCGACCCGCACGTGGTCGCGGGAAAGGTGACGACTGTGCGTGAGAAGGTCGATGATATTCTCTTTGAGGTTGAGCTTCACAGCTTGCTCGCACGTTTAGAGAGGGTTAGCCCTGGATCTGAAAAGAAGATTGTGGAGGAGGCCCTTAAGGCAAAACAAAGAAGAGTGAGGCCATGGGAAAGGCGTCCGCAGCTGCTTGATGATTGCTTGGATTCTTGTGGTGCCCGTGGTCTTCAACGGATTCTCTCGTCGGGGGTTTCTTTGCGATGTAGCAGTGTGGTGGTTGGTGATCGTTGCATGTTGTGGGGATTGGTGGGTGTTGCTAGTCATGCGCTTATGCGGTTGCATGCTCGGTTAGTCGTCCACATGTGATGGGTTTGTATCGGTTTTCGCCCGATTTTCCGTTAATTAACTGGGTAATTCTCTTCTGCTTAATTAATCGACGAGGCAAAATTTTTGCCTCTGTTTAAAAAAAACCAAAGAACGACTGGCAAATCTCTAAAAGTCAGGCCCGGAGCGACTCTACCATCGCCGTAGCGGCCCCCGTCATGTGATGCATGGGATTAGAGTCGCTCCGGGCAGTAAATAATTGACTCGGTGCATGTTCAAATGTGTTGTGAGACTAAGCTAGCACCTGTATGGACGTATGCCCAGAGTAGCAAAACTAGTGCTTTTGGCGGGCAGCACTTGCAGCAGCAGGCCATCATCACTCCAAGCAACCAATACAAGCTAGCTCTTCCTTCTTTCTTTCTTTCTTGTGTCCATTTTCGCTGAGATGAGATGCACCAGACTGGCCTGCACTGTTAGACTGCTACCATACCACCACCATTTCTTCTGAGCAAAACCACCACCACCAATTCTTCTTAGCAAAACCACAACCTACCAAGGAGCGCGGGCAGTGCTCAGACCGTCCGGCAACGCAATGGCGACCTCCGCGCGTTCCTGCTCCTCCGGCCTTCTCCTGGTCTTCCTCCTCGTCGGCGCGGCGGCCACTAACGACAGCAGCTTCAACGCGACGGCGTTCCGCGCCAGCCTCCTCCCGCTCCTCGGCGCGCTCCCATCCGCCGCCGCGCCGACGGGCTTCGCGTCCCTGCGGTCCGACCGCGCGCTCGCCCGCGGGGTCTGCTTTGGCGACGCCGCGCCGTCCGACTGCCTCGCGTGCCTGTCCGTGGCGGCCAAGAACCTGACCGACGGCTGCGGCGCCACCACCCGGCTTGCCGGCGTCTGGAACGACGGCTGCTTCGTGTCCTACGCCGACACCGTCGCCCCCTCGGCCACCACACTGGTCTCCACTGCGCTGGTGCCTCGCAGCGAACCCAGCGACCCCAGCGACTCCAACGGCTTCAGCAACCTTACTACCGGTGAGTTTCCCTGATCGATCATTTTCTCTTGGAAAGCTTGTTCTTGATTTATTCTCGGAGACAACCATGGGCTGCAATCTTAATTTGCTTCTTTTTTCGTTGTTCCAGAACGAATGGTACATTTTTTTTCTTCTAAAAGGAGAACGAATGGTACTAATACAACAAAGTTTTGGTTTCCAACAGGTCTCCTCTACGCGAGTAAATAGCATAAAACTACTAGTTTATAGGTTAGGGCTCCAAAAAACTATCACTTTTTAATTTTTTTCAGAAAGCTACCAAACGCGCGGTCCGCTGTTTCAAAAAAACCAAACCCGCGGTGACTAGCGATTTAACCGTTTTTCTGACGGATTGGGCCCACATGCCAGGCCACCTGGCCACGCGCGCTCACGGCGCGGCCGTTGACGGTCGTTAGCCGACGCGGCCCGGTCGGAACGGGGGTAAATAAACCCCCCCGGTCGGTCGCTCCTGCTCACTCTCTCCCTGCTCGCTCACTCCCCTGCTCTCACTCCCCTGCTCTCACTCCTCTGTTCCAGTACGAGCTCGCCGCCGCTCGCCGTCTTTGAGGTGGCTCGCCGTTGACCTCCTTGCCACCATGCCTTCCTGGAACGACGAGGAAACTAGCTCGGAGGAGGACTGCGAGGTTGTCAGCATGGACATGGGACTTATGGTAAGTTCTTTGCCACCTAGGGTTAGGGTTAGGTGCTAGTAGGCCGAGTAGGCCTAGGCTACCGCCATGGATCTTGCTAAGTGTAGTGTTGGTGTTGTAGGATTCTTGTTCAATAGTGAGGCTGGGGTTTGATTGTAGAATTGATGTAAGCTAGGGTTCATCTCAGTACAGTGTTAGGGTTCATGCTGAGTTGGGGATTTTTTTAGTGTTCATGTTTAATGAAGCGTGCAAGTATATTCTGGTGTTGAGTGCAGATTGAAACTAGTGTTTGCTGGTTATTTTGGTTGCAGGAGGAACCAGACACCACTGTGGAGCCCCTTTTCTGTGGCCAACTTGAGCTTGCTCATCCCAAGTGCATTCTGCATTAAATGAGGCCTATTAAGCGTGTTGCTTTTGAAGGGCCTTTAACAGGAAGGCGTTTCTATGGCTGCCCAGTCCAGGTTAGATGGCAATAAACTTTTCTGCTATGTATGGTCACTGATGATTGATATGATGCAGCACTTTGTTTGATATGATGCCAATAAACATTTTTCTGCTATGTATTTTTGTTACTTTGGAAACTTAATCATGACATTATAATAACTTATCATATCTCATTTATGTTATTCATTGTTAGAAATTATCAAGTATATACAAGTTAATCATGGAACTGAAATAAGCTCCTAGTCCATTTGTAATAACTTATCACATTTATAAATGCAGGAAAATGGTGTGAATTGTGGTGTTGTGGAGTGGGTTGATGGGCCTTGGCCAACTGTTCTTCAGAGATGTTTGTGCAAGCTATGGGAGATGTTCCATGAGCAGAACTTTGGAAGGGTACAGGACAAGAAGAAGTTTGAGAAGGAGTTGGCCAGGCTTAAGACTGAACATGAAAGGGAGTTGGCCAAGCTTAGGGCTGAAAATGACAAGCTTTGCATTGAGTACACCAAGCTTGTTGATGATGTATCCAAGATGTTTGATTGGCAGGATGGTAGGGTGGACAAGAAGGTGGACAAGAAGGTGCACCAGAAACAAGTGGAGGAGGAAGAACTTGAGAAGAAGAAGAAGGAGCTAGAGGAGAAAGCTATGTTGGAGGTGCAGATGGAAAAGCTCAAACTTGCAAAAGAGCAGAGGTGCATTTTGCAGAGCCAAGCTGATATCATCAAGAACACCAGAAAGGCTATGAAGGATGTTCAAGTTGACAGAGATGTTCTTAAGAAGGAGAAGGCAAAGCTTGAGCTTGTTGTTGCTGAGCTGCTGAAAGAAGGGTATGGCAGCAAGGAGAAGTTAGAGCAAATCAAGGCCATCCTTGATTCTTGAAGTGGCTTTGATATGTTGGTGAAGTAAGTACATCCAAAGGCCTTTATATAAGGATGTGGCCTGGCATGACTGCAAGTGATTATGGGTGTACATTTTGGGGGAATGTGAAGTTTAACCTAGTGTAAGAACCTTATTTACTATGTTGTTAAGTTGTAATGGATCACCTATGCTATTAAGTGTTGTAATGGATCTCCTATGCTATTATGTAGTGGAAAATGGATCTCTTATGCTACTAAGTTGTGGAAATGGATCTTGTATGCTATTAAGTGTTCAACTTGATATTCTATCTTTTAGATGTTATTTGTTAGCCTACATATATTATTTCTGTGGTTAATTGGGCTTGGTGGCCCACTATTCTCTGACCAAATGCAACCCTAGGCCTACTAAACCCAACCCCATCCATCTGTCAATATAAACCCCTCCCCACCCCCACCCTTTCGCAGTCACTCCACCAGCCGCCACCCAAAAGAAACCCTACAGATGGATCCTGACATGGGAGATGTCACAGAGGAAGAGGGGGAGGCTGTGGAGGTTAGGACAGCAGCAGCTGCACAGAGGAGGAGGAGGAGGCGCAGGCAGAGGGCCCTAGAGGCGGCCCAGGATGAGCAGCAAGAGGAGTTCAACCGCCGACTCGCCAACAAGGTACTGGATAAGTGCAATGATGAAGAACTAGAGTTGGTTTTCACTGGAGGCAGGGGAAGATCATTCATGGAGATAATTAGGTGGGCAAGGATTAGGGCAGTCATGGCTCCTCATCAAGCAACTAGGGCCAAGTGGGTCCGTTTCTTTAGCGCTATGACTAATCTAGCTATCTATCTTTCTATCTGTAAGTCAATTTGAGAGAGAGTTTTGGTAGTTTTTGTGAGATTTTGATGTAATCTATGAGACTATCTATCTATGTAATCTATGAGACTATCTATCTATGTAATCTATGAGACTATCTATCTATGTAGAGATCTATCTATGTATGTTTCTAGAGATCTATCTTTCTATCTATGATACTATCTATGAGACTATCTTTCTATCTATATCAAGTGTTGAATCCACATATAGATAAAAGTTATAGATGAAATGAAGTTGCAAACAAGTGCAGAATCCACATACAGTACCATATTACAAACCAAATCAAACAGTGCAGTATCAAGTACTTAGTGAGGCAATGTTATTACAAACCAAATCAAACAGTATCAAGCACTTGGAGTTCAACAACTTCAGCTAGTTACCACTTGCATAAAAGTAATCTTTCAGCCTATTAGATGGCTTCCTGACCCTCTTTGATCCAGTGCCAGCTCTATTGGCAGCAGCTGACCTGGTGTTCTTTGCTGGAGAAGACATTGATGACCTGGCGTTCTTTGCTGGAGAAGACCTTGATGACCTGGTGTTCTTTGCTGGAGAAGACCTTGATCCATTGCCAGAAATAGTTGTGTTCTTCTTCTTGGGAGGTGGTACTACTGTTGCAGAAGAGGTGTTGGTCCTGCTCTTCTTGAGAGGTGGTGGTGCTGCTGTTGTAGCTGATGCTTCCCTCTTCCTTGACCTAGAAGTTGTCTGTGTTGACTCAGTTGTTGTTGGAGGAGGAGTTGGTGCAGGTGCAGAGGCAGCAGGTACCCTTGGTGGCCTTTGTGCAGTTGCAACCATTGAAGAACCGGCCTCAGAGTAGTTTGCTCTATTTTCCTACACACCAATATTAGTTAGAACTATTTTCCTACAAATGAAATGAATGTAACAATGCAATGAATGTAACAATGGAATGAATGGACATACCCGGTGCTTGTTCAGCCTCATCTGGAACTTAGGTTTCAAAGGGACACCACAATTGTTGATCCTATGCCCTTGCTTCTTGCAGTTGTTGCATGTCACTGTACCAATCCTAGAAGTATCCTTTTTAGCTGGCACCTCAAACAGGCCTTTCCTCCTGGCAGTTTGTTTTTTACCTTTCTTTTCTCTAAACACAGGGGGAGAAATATCATCACCAGGTGTATGAGGCCAATGGTCAGGACCTGGCACAGGGAATATTATGTGCTTATATGTTTCACAATACATGGGTTTCTTGAAAAAAGCAGAAACATAGTCTTCAGGGTGTATCTTCACTTTCTGCATTGCAGCAATGGCATGACTGCAGGGGATAGCTGTCATGTCCCACCTCCTACAGTCACAGGTCTCATTATTCAAATTAACACAATATGTGTTTTCAGAGCTATTTGTGACCTGCCATATCCCTGGCCCTGCCATGTATGCTTCACAATATTTAGCCCACTTCTTCCCCTCTTCTAAAATCTCTGAATAAGTAGGTGTGATTTCCCATCTGCATGTCTCTATCTTCTCTCTGATCTTCTGAAACTTAACCATCAGCTTTGTTCTTATGCCCTCTAACATAGTCCTGATTGGCTTGTTCCTAACATCCAATATCATTCTATTGAAAACCTCACTAAGGTTGTTTACTACCAGGTCTGTTTTGCACACAGTGTCCATTTTATACCTAGCCCAGGTATGCTCTGGTATCTGTGACAACCACTGCCAAGATTTTAAACTTTCTTTTTTCAAATTCTCCATGCCTAAAGCATGTCCATGTTTGGTAAAGGAATAGGCAGCCTGATCTACATGTTTCTTAAGTTCCTCTCCTCTGAAACCAGCAGATTGGAAATTGGCATAAATATGTCTAAGACAAAACCTTTGTGGAGAGTCAGGGAATACATCATCTATTGCATTCAACAATCCCTATTCAATGTAAGGTAATCTTAAGTGTTACTCATCTACTAAATAACATTTTACTCATGGCAAATGTAAAGGCAAATGTAAAGACTAGGTTCAGAACAATACCTTCTGCCTGTCAGACATAATTGTGTATTTGCCAAACTTATTGCCAGTTCCAATGACTGTTCTCAACTGTGTGAGAAACCATGTCCAACTGTCTGTCTCTTCCTTATCAACAACACCAAAAGCTATTGGGAAGATGTTATTGTTGCCATCCCTCCCTGTAGCTGCCAATATCTGCTGACCAGTGCTTAGCTTGATGAAGCAACCATCCAGACCTGCTAACATGATAACATGAGTGCCTAAGTACATCAATGTTTAAAAAGCATATAAATTTCTGAATACTTACCTATAAATGGCCTGCATCCATTCAGAAAACCCTCCTTGCATGCAAACAAGCAGTAAAACATATAGTGAAACCTTGGGGTAGGAGCTGGGTTAAGTGGGTCCTCATGTGTTGTTACTATGCACCTACTGCCAGGGTTAGTATCTAGCACACACTGCAGGTAGTCCCTTATTCTGTGATACTGAAGTTTGTGATCTCCTTGCACAACCTCAACTGCTTGCTTCCTTGCCCTATATGCCAAGCTTTTAGGCACATGCACACCAAACTTCTTCTTTGTGTATGACATAATTGTTTCAACACCAGCTCCAGGGTTGGATCTGACTGTATCCTCACAAACCTTAGCAACCCAATTGGCTGTCACCTTTGTGTTCTCTCCACTTGCTCCACAAGTGTGATCCAGGTTCATCTTCTTGATACTGAAAGTTGCCTCATGAGCTATCTTGGAGGCAACTATGTAAAACTCACAACCATGTTTTCTGTCAGAGCACCAAGCAATAACCCTAGTTGGTTCATTTCTGTGATACTCAAAATTCCTAAGAGTCCTCACATGAAAATTTCTAATTGCTTCTCTGAACTCAACAACACTTTCAAAGCACAAATGCATTGCAAACTGCTCATGTGCATCAGGCCTTGATGGATCATACCATATCCTCTGCTTCTTCTGCTTCTTCCTACTCTTCCTTCCAGATGGCAGCCTTGGTGCATCATCTTCATCACTTATGTCAAAATCACCTGGAAAATAGTACTCATCAGCTTCAGGGACATAATCTTCAAACTTGCTGTGCTCAGGCTCACTGTGAGACTTGCTAGTTGGGCCAGGTTTTCTAACTGGCTTAAGCTTTTTGGCTGCTTTTGTAGTTACAGCAGGATCCTCTACTACTTCATCTTCAGAAACAACTGGTTCTTCCTCCCAAAACTCAGAAGGTTCTGAGTTAGCTACACAAAAGTGCTCTGCAGTATCAGTGCCAGCCTCATCTTCACCCCTACACCAAGCTTTGTAAGAAATTTTCTCCCCTCTGTAATCACCCCTAAAGAACTCAAAATCTGAAGATGATTTGTCATCTTCAACTTCATCTTCTTCCTCTGGTACATCTTCTTCTTCTTCATCTGCTTCTTCTTCTACATCTTCTTCTTCCATATCTTCTTCTTCCACAACTGTTTTCCCTTTGTTAAAATTGCTGCTTTTGTTGTGTGTTCATGTAGGGCTCATCAGGGGTTAAAGCTGGCAAACTAGCATTAGAGGCAGGGTACAGAACACCTTCTTGTGAAACTCTGTAAACAACAGGATCACCATCATGATCAATGGGGATCTGTTCCTCATCTGTTGGGCTTGGATCAGTAGCTTTTCTGACACTGATGTTCAGTACCTTATTATCAACAAATAAGTCAAGCATTTCCTCTAATGCCTCCTCACTATCCAGGGCCTCCACACCCTCTAGCCCCTTTCCCTCTTCCTTTCCATATGTCAGAAATGCATCCATGCCATAGCCCTCCAACTCAACCAATGCTAATATGGTCAGATAACTGATATCTGAGGAAACTGAATACTTTTTCTCCATATTATCTATTCCTTGGAAATGTAGCCTCAAGTCCCAAATCTCTTCATCTAAGCTGTAGGATTAAATTGACAAACAACCGTTTTTAAGTCACTGAACATTACTGAACTTTCTTCTAATTACAGTGAATGCACTGACCAAATGAACTAACCAAATGCACTTTCTTCTACACCGACTTAACCAATAAAATACAGTAGCATGCCAAGAACAAACAATTACTATCTCTAGTTCTAATTTGAGCTAAAGCACCCAAAAATACAGTAGCATGCTAATAACAAACAGTGTTTACCTCACTCCACCAAAGGACGACGCCCAATGGTGGCCGCCTGCTGGATCAGCGTGGATGC